GGGGGGGGGGAAAAAAAAGAAAAGAAGAAAAAAAATAAAAAAATTTCTTCTTTAAATATCATAATTTAATATATAGTAACTTTTTTATTATAGCCACGGAGGAGTGAGCGTTTAAGGCTAAAATCGCGGTTTTTTAACAGTTTGCTCTCTGGTGCTCCGTAGTATATAGGCTTTATGTGATCGAGGTCATGGCCATCCCCACCACTCAGGCGTACAACTCACCATTCAATGGTTGCTGGACATCTTGGTCGAGACCGCCAAAAGTCAGGTGTCTCACGGGCTCATCCCCTTCGGTCACCATGTAGCTGGCAAGTTCTGATGGCAAAGGGACGGATCCCCATTTGATTTTTGATCTTGAAAGTTGGAGAAGGGCTGCAGCTTCTCTATTCTCCTGCCATTCTTCTTCTTCTTCTTCTCCTCCTCCTCTTCCTCCTCGTCCTCCTCCCTTTGTGTATTCTTCCTCGTCATCAGCCAAGAAGTCGTTTTTTGAGCCCTCGCAGTCGCCGTCTTTCGGACTGTTCCTATCCCGAGACGTGCGGCGCTTGTGGCACGCACTACTTGCCACCGACGGCACCGCAGCGTGACACGCGGCCGAGATGACGAGTGAGTTGGTGCCGCCGCTCACCATGTCGCCTTTGACCTTGCGCAGGCTCCAAGCCATGGGAAAGATGCTCATGACGACCGAGACGATGAAGACGACGACAATGGCCGGCGGCGAGTAGCCAAGCGCGACCATGGCGTCGGCTGAGACACCGAGGTTGGCACTGGCGCCGTCGACATTATCATATGTATCCCAGTACCCTATTCTCGAAAGGTATATATCAGTGTTGTGAAGCAAATGAGGATGAGATATATCCGAAACTGGGGATATGTTCTCACTCACCTCCTTCGGTAATGAAGATGTAAATGGTATTGGAGACGAGCCAATGCAGCAATATACTCATGGCAAGAAGGGGCACGCTATACTTGTATGGCAATTGCAGCCGGTATTTAGATGTCTGATCGCCCAAGGGATAGGAGACTCGGAGCGGCTGGTACCGAAGGCTGAACGAGTTCCACTCAGTCTCGACTGCCAGGCGCGTGAAGAAGGTATTGTAGGAAAAGTAGCACGTTGACAGGAGCATCTGCGGCGCATTTGCAATGAGCAGGCAACTGACATAAGATCCAGCCAGGCTCATTGTGAGGTTCTCGTCGGAATGGCCGAATGGAAGATCCCTAGAGACAAATATCAGTCAAGTACCTCAAAGGCACCCAGAGTCGGCTTACAAAATGCTCTTGCTGGTGTTTGTAATCGCGAGAATCATACAAAACATGACAAAGACGATAGCCACGAATAACAAGCAGTAAGTTCGTGTCCATGCTGCTCGGGGGATGATTCTGATGAGGCTTCGCGGCTTTGTTTGCCAACGGCGGGCTCTAATCATGGGCGTCAACTCGATCTCGCTGCTGTCGCCGCCGGCGGGCTTCCACGGCTTCCGGACGCCAAACTCAAGGCGCTCGCTATCGACGATATCGAGGGTGCCGAGCCCCTCCGTCTTGGGGTCCGGCTTTGAGATGAAAGACTCCATGGCGTCTCCCGGTGTCACCAGCGAGACATGCTGGAGGTTTTGCACAACAATGGTACACACGGCGATCTTGAGGACAACGCATGACAAGACAATCACCAACAGCGGGTTCGCTACTCCGACCTTGCACTTTTTGCTCAGCGGTCGGGCGAGGCAGTAGTCGACTTGGAGGGTGTTGAGCGTGGCGTTGAACCCGTATATGCTCCCCTCGGTTGCCGGGACATTGAGCTCGTCGGGCCGGAACTCAATGGTCCAGGTCGAAAGCGATGGCGTTGTTGCCGTGAGGTTCCACGCATTACTCGAGGTGAAACGATCGATGCCGAGGAGCGTCAGACAGTCGTGGGTGCACGTGGTCGTTGTGTCAATGTGGGTATCTCGATGGACCGAGCACCGCGTCGAGTACCAGAGGGAATTCTTGCCGTTGGGAGGAACCTGATGATCCCAAATGGTGGACAAGTTGCTCTGAGCAGCGAAATCAAAGACCGCGGATCGGGCCCATCCGTTAGAGTGTGTCGTGCTATTGACAATGAGCACAACATCGGAATACTCATTCCTCGCATTACAAGACAAGTATTCAGCCATGCAGTCCTGTGGTTCCAACCGTGTCCAGGATGAGGCATCTGTTGCCGTGGCTTGGAGCTCTAGACGAGGCGACGATGTGCTATTCCAGTATTCTTCCAGGCTCACGGGGGTGCCGTAACCCCACCCTGTGAGACCCGTATAGTGATTGTAATCCTCATCACTATATTTGACATATTGGTATGCTGGAGATGGTGCTCCAGCTGGCGCCAGACTCGCTCCCGGCGCATAGAACGGCGCGCCCTCGATGAATGATGCCGAGGCAATAGTCATGTTCCAGTATCGGCCCTTGTATCCCGTCTCAAACACAGCACTGTTGAACAAGAGATGTAGGGGGAACGAACTCAATAGTAGTATGACCCAGCATACCCTTTTGAAGTGCGAGATGAATCTGATGTTCTTAACCGACGGAATCCCAATATCCACAGACTTGAATTGCGCGTGGGCGCGGTCAACCTCCTTTCGACTCGGCGCACTCAGAACCTGCATATAAAAGTTTGAGGACGCCAGGATGCCGGTAGACAGGAGGTTGATGGCGAGGTGCAGCGCGAGGTTGACTCGCGAGGTGGTGGTGCAATCACTCTCGAGCAGGATCACGGCACCGTCGACGCTGCTGCCGCCGCCGCCCTCCACCGCAGCGAGCAGACTGGCCAGCAAGGCGGCGGCGCACACGCTGACAATGGCCAGATTGACGATGCCGGTCCGTCGCCATTGCTCGTAGGGCGACCCTTTTCCCTCCTTGTCGGATTTCATCCCCTCGTGCCGCCGAATGTGCAGCAATTTTGGTCATTAGGTCTGGGGTTTACACCATGAAGAAACCAAAGCTGCTGATACACGAAATAAATCTTGAGCATGGGCCTCAGACTTCTGTTGCTGCGAAACAAAAGGACTATATTGGGGGATACAAGTATCACCAGTATGGACCCGAGTACCAAGTACGTACTCTTCTTGTTGTCTTTCACACTGCTACCTGGACTTTAGGGGACCGTGTGTACGCCCATGTAAATGTCCGAGCTATTCCGTACCAGTGGCTCAAAAGCTTCGAGTATATATGGAGAAGAAGGATGATGTACAATACATATGATTAACGATTTCCTATTCGAGAAAGATCGGCAGTCGTTGAAGCCAATGGGGTGACTTTCCTTTGAAGGATCGAGTCCACATGTGGGAAACGACCAAAGATCACCAGGCAACAGGGACAAGAGACAGGGATACTTGATTTCTCCTGCGTCTGTCTGCTCCTGTTTCTTCTATCACTGCTGTTGTATATTGTACATGTAGTCGACTTTTCACGACGAATTCAAAAGTTGTAAGGCTGGCTATTCTGCATAGTCCAGGCATGGCTCTAAGTCTAATCCCCCTTGTTTTTGTGTCTTTCAATTAATCCTCCTGCTCAGAGACCGTTCGGATTTTCTCAGCCGGTAATAATGGCAAGAACCAAGCATGGAAGACTCGTCAAACCATCAGGCTGGTCAAGGTTGAACGACGATAATCTGACGCCAATGGCATCTGTCGAGCGCCTCGACGATATTCCTCTGTCGACTTTGAAAAGGACCGAGGCAGGGTCGATTGCTACCGAGTCTCGGACCGGAATGCATGGTTCGTGGAGTCTTTTCCAGGGCGAAATTGGCAGAAGTGTTTGCTCTACGCCACTGGTGTCCGCTACAGACGGGGGGAAACCATCTTTCACCAAACGAGGTTGTGGATGGGGTCGTGGAAGACTCTGGCTTCGCCTGCTTCGACTAGCCATGAGCTCGGTGAGGATTGGTATCATTATTTATACCATTTTCTTGCCTGCAATAAGTATAGTATTCGACATGACCTATGTAAGATACTGCCCTGATATCCTCCGGTGCTGAACGCACTTGAATAGTCAAGCGAGTGGCTCATTTGTTCTTGTAACTGCTAGTCTGCAGCACTCTTGGTATGGGACATTATATACCTGATAGACGCTCGCTGGACGGGGGCCTTTCAGCTCAGCTTTGAGATCAAGACGTTTGTCGAAGTTGCGGCTTCGGTAGTGGTAAGCACGGCTTTGATAATGGAGAGCCTAGCAGTGTCGAAAGTCAGCGAGGCTGATTACCTATCCCGCGGCTCTTCGTGGCTTGTCAAGGGCAAAACATTCATAGCCGTGGGCATGGCGGCCAATTTCGTGCAACTGTAAGTAATCCCAGCAGGGCAGTTTTGGGTCTCTCCCAAAGTCCCTCAATGGGAGAAACACGATCAAACCAACATGTTTTCGAATAGGTTCACCACCGTCTTCTTCGCCTATCGACTGGCAAGGCAGATCAAACAGCATTACATGATTCACTACAAAGGCCACCCCATCATCTTATATACGCCGGCCGGAGATCCGGTCATCAGGGTCACGGACGAGCCGCTCGTGCTCCGCGAACTCCTCGCTAGGCGTTCAGTGGACTCCGACACGTGAAATACCCAAAAGGTTCTGATCATGACATCTACCACGAGGGAAAGGGGAAAGAATTACGGCTCAAGTTTTGAGAACAAAAGCCGATGACATCTCACTCAATCGAGGCACAACAATAAACACAGATCACCCATTGACATGGACTGTTGGAAGCGGGTATCGAACGAATGACCGAGGACATTCTACGGCATACATCAAAGCATCGACGCCAATCCGAATTCGCGCATTTGCGCCTCAGTCTACAAAGTTTGTGATTTGTCTCCGTATATTGATGACATTGTGTCTCACTGACATTAGAATACGGGACAGCGATACTACCTTGGCACTGCTGATCAGACATTCACCAGAAAGGGACAGTCTACCCTAGACCGTTTACAAACGATACTTGTGGTGCTATAGTTGCGTTTCATGAGCACGGGACGTCTCGATAGTCCTCACGAGTGAATACCGAGAAAGGTCGCAAAGACTTGTAAACCGAGCATTCATTTTCACTTCAGGGCACTGATTTAGGGTGAACTACGCCGTTCCGGGACCGGAGTCTGAGGTCATCTGCTTTGCCTGTGTGCAGCACGAATCCGCATGACTATTGGTATATCTACTTGTACTCTCTTGGGTCTTACTTTTGAGTTCTTGGGGGAGGAAAAAAAAAACCAATAATTGATAAATGCCTCATTTTCATGTTGGGTAATGCCCAAAAATATGGAATATGCTTGTCATTTGAAATGAAATAACTGGTCTTGTAAATATGTTATTGCCAAAGCCTCTCTGCGAGGCCGGACTCGTCTTATATCAATTTTCGAGGGTATTATTAATTATATTTATTTTAAACTTGCCGAGTCGAATTAAAGAGTAATGTGTTATCAAGAGTGTGTTGCGATTATTGGTAGACTGTCAACGTGACGTGTAAAAGTGATCCCAGTGCCGGCCGGCATGTGGTGGTTCCCCTCGCTTCGTTTCGAGTTGATGAATCTGTTCTTGGTATGATTTCATTCGTGCGGCGCAAGATTCCCGCTTTGTTTGGAGAAGATAAGAAGAACATAATGATCAAGGTCCCGGTCGTGGGCGGAGGTGTCATCGTTTAATCTGTATTAAGACGGCATTTGAAAAAGAAAATACATCAAATGGGCTTCTTTTGTCTTGCTTGACGAACCGGGTTGGCCACGCTGTAAAGGTCACGACACGGCACGAGTTCTGTCATCTTACATGGAAGCTAGATAGTCAGACATACTTGAACCTTTTTTTTCTTTCAGGTCTGTCCGAGCATCGTAGGTGGGCACGTGAGCATTTGCGGAAAAGAGGTCTTCTTCAATAATAATAATCGAGGCTCCCAATGTCTTTAAAGAAGCAACATGTTTGGTCGGGGGAGCAAACCACCAGTTTCAGTCCTACTCTGTCAAACGTTGATCACTGCTTTGGCAGCCAGTTGTTTTTTTTTTCCCGCCAATTTGGCAGGTCTCACTCAGCACGACGGAATGGCAATCTTTCTACGTTCTGTTTGCCTTCCTACCTGCTATGTACTAGATTTTGCCAAGACAAGAGTTCAGTACTAAGGTTCAGGAGAGCATGGCAAGGCAAGCAGCAGATAGGTTAGTGCCTTTCTTAATGGGCGTCTGAGACGCCATGAAAGTGTCTCAAAAATGCTTGTTTTCTCTTCCCCATCTTTACTGGACGGGAGCGTAACATGAAAAGTTTAGAATATCTAGTATCGAGGCCAAGTTGAAAAGGTCCGAGTCCGAGTTTGGGGGCGATGGATC